GTGCTGTGTCTCCCAGTATTGGGCTATTGTGTCTGGGGAGCTTCTCTGTTGGGGCCCTGACTGGGTGACCAGATCATAGAATCAGAGAATATTAGGGTTGGAAGAGACCTCAGGAGGTCATCTAGTCCAACCCCCTGCTCAAAGCAGGATCACCACCAACTAAATCATCCCAGCCAGGGCTTTGTCAGGCTGGGCCTTAAAAACATCTAAGGAAGGAGATTCCACCACCTCCCTAGGGAACCCATTCCAGTGCTTCACCACCCTCCTAGTGAAATAGTGTTTCCTAATATCCAACCTAGACCTCCCCCACTGCAACTTGAGACCATTGCTCCTTGTTCTGTCATCTGCTACCACTGAGAACAGCCGAGCTCCATCCTCTTTGGAACCCCCCTTCAGGTAGTTGAAGGCAGCTATCAAATCCCCCCTCCCTCTTCTCTTCTGCAGACTAAACAAGCCCAGTTCCCTCAGCCTCCCCTCGTAAGTCATGTGCCCCAGCCCCCTAATCATTTTCATTGCCCTCCACTGGACTCTCTCCAATTTGTCCACATCCCTTCTGTAGTGGGGGGACCAAAACTGGAAGCAATACTCCAGGTGTGGCCTCACCAGTGCTGAATAATCACTTCCCTCGATCGGCTGGCAAGGCTCCTACTAATACAGCCCAATATGCTGTTGGCCGTCTTGGCAACAAGGACACACTGCTGACTCATATCCAGCTTCTTGTCCACTGTAATCCCCAGGTCCTTTTCTGCAGAACTGCTGCTTAGCCAGTCGGTCCCCAGCCTGTAGCAGTGCATGGGATTCTTCCATCCTAAGTGCAGGACTCTGCACTTGTCCTTGTTGAACCTTATCAGATTTCTTTTGGCCCAATCCTCCAATTTGTCTAGGCCACTCTGGACCCTATCCCTACCCTCCAGCATATCTAACTTCTCCCCCCAGCTTAGTGTCATCTGTGAACTTGCTGAGGGTGCAACCCATCCAGATCATTAATAAAGATGTTGAACAAAAGCGGCCCCAGGACCGACCCCTGGGGCACTCCGCTTGAAACCGGCTGCAAACTAGACATCGAGCCATTGATCACTACCCGTTGAGCCCGACAATCTAGCCAGCTTTCTAGCCACCCGATAGAAATATGTCCCAATATTATCTGGACCATCCCAATATTAGGGGCTTGTCTTATATAGGGCCCTATTTTCCCCACACACCAGACCCTATTCCCCCTCTCCCATCCGTCCCAATTTTTCACACTTGCTATGTGGCCACCCTAGCCCTGACAGATGTCTCCTGCAGAGAAGGCCACGTGCATCTCCAGGTGTTCAGCTCCCGCCTAGCCTCACTCACCGGGTTCAGAATAGGCTGCTGGAAAGCCATGCTGACCGTGTCCAACGCTGCTGCTTGTGGTAACCCGAGGCGGCTCCCTGTGACTCTTTAAGTTTCGTTTCCAGCTGCAGGCACAGAATGTGGGCGGGTTGTCTCTCTCCTGCCACCGGCATGCTTTGATTAACCCATGAAGGTATGGTTCCCTATGGCAGGGACGCTGGCATTGCCGTCCCAGAGCCGCAGTCGGTGCCGATGATGTGAGGAGCTGGCAAGGAAGAGGAAGTAGCATGCACCTGCCATGGGGCGAGTGCAGGAGCATTGCTACTGGCTCACCCCCCCGCTTCATGTCTCTGCCACCAGTTCCCCTTTCAAGTGCAGCTGTTGTTAGTTCCCCAGCTCTCAGCCATTTACTGGGCTGCTTTTGTGCTGGGTAAGAGACTTTCCCCTTTTAAAGACACCAGTGTCTTTTGTGCCTGTGGAATCCAGACCTAGCCGGCTAACCCTGACCCACGGACACTGCTCTGCGCTCTCCGGCGGCATGACTCCAGTGCTCAGGCACATGGCAGGGGTGTCTTGACACAACCCTCGGCAAACAGGAGGGCTAAAACTTTTATTCTTTGGCATGAAAGCGGAGATTCTCCGGTGTTAACAGGACTCCGGGAGCTGGGGCTTCTGGAAAAACTAAACATTGTCCCTCCAAATATCTCCACCTCCCCTAGGGGTTCTCCTCACCAGACTCCCACCAAGTTCCCCTCTCACAGTCATTCCCCACCCCTAAGGCTCTCCTCTCACATCCCTCCTCCCCCCCAAGTTTCCCTGTCTTGTCCCTTCTCCCCCTTCCCTATGGATTCTCATCCCCCCCCCTTCTCCCCTTTCCTCCAACTTCTTCCCCACACCCCCACAGGTTCCCTCTCGAGGATTTTTCTGCCAGCCCATAGCCGAGGACAGTACAGCACTGCACCTCACCTCTTGCCACCCCTCCGGCTCAGCCTGCAGCACCCTGGACAGCCGTCAATCTATGATGTCATGTCCCTCAGGGAACTATCACCTGGCCGTCAGCTGCAGACATGGGCCAGGTATTATATGTTCTTTCATAGAATATCAAGGTTGGAAGGGACCTCAGGAGGTCATCTAGTCCAACCCCCCAAACCCCATTGACTGTAGGGAACATATTCTTGGTAACACTGTTATACTAGCACTGTGTGCTGAAATCAGAGTACAAACCTCAACTAGGTACATGATAGAGCAGAGCTGTTTAACCCAGAATGCGTAGCTGTGACAAAGTTCCTCCTCTATCTCGGTGGGTCCTGCGCTTATTGGCAGATTTTCTTGCCTCAGAGATTCACCATGTGGGTTGGGGAACAGCCCAGACACCTTCCCCTCTGGAAGAACCCACCGTCCAAGTCAATTGGGAGGTTTGGGGGGGAACCCAGGCCCGCCCTCTACTCCGGGTTCCAGCCCAGGGCCCTGTGGACTGCAGCTGTCTATAGTGCCTCCTGTAACAGCTGCATGACAGCTACAACTCCCTGGGCTACTTCCCCATGGCCTCT